CATGCTAATAATGCAATGCGAGGATAATAAAATGGCGTCTTCACAAACATTTTTGGGAGTTCGACGGGGCGTGGTTTGCATTCCGCCCAGCCAATCAGACACAGGAATCTTTTTCTCCCACGAAAGTCCCTGCTCTCTAGCAGGGACGGAAAAGGGGGTAAAAAAGGTTCTCTAGAACTAATTTAGTTCCTGGGACTTTTTGGTGTGAACGCAACTAAATCGTAGTTCTCAGGAACCTTTGTGGGAAAAGTACTTGGTGTGAACGCACCTAATGGGCATTATGTGCTTCTCAGTATATGTAGTGACATTGTTTTTCTTGTAAAATGGAAGAATCAGCCAGCAGTTGTTTCATTAGTTGAATTATTTTAATGTACCGTAAGAACCTGTTTTAATGTTGGATTTCTCTGTGTGTTTTTGTAGAAGAAGGATGAGAGGCCGGAGACAAAGTATCTGAACTTTAGTGACACGGTGTACGGCAGCTGCACAGAGCGACAACACCACTACTTCCTTAGCCATGTGGAGGACTGGTGAGTTTGATCACCATTTCCATGCATTGATGGTGAAGGATTCCCACGAAAGATGGGGCAAGATATTAAGTTTGATTTCTTTTAATATCATGAAGAATTGGTGTAATATTTGCTTTGTTTCTTTTATTCAGGGACCTCCTGTTTGCAGCATCAGCGGCCTCCATTGAAGTCAGTGTCATAGCCGCCAGACAAGAGGACAAGGTATTAAATGACACGAAAAGCTAAAGATGTTATAGAAATCATACGTTTAAATGACACACTGTTTTGAATAAAGATAGAAATGAAAGGTGTCGATCTCAATGATATGTTTCCATTGTCATTCAAAATAAGTCAAATATGATATTTGTATAGTTTTGATATATAGTTTGAAAGTATCAAGGAAAGTTGCATAATTTTTCTAACAAGTTCTTCTCAATCAGAAGAACACTATTTTTTAAAATAATGCAAGCTACCAGAGCTTCCTCCATCCACAGTGAGCAAGCCTAATGCCATACATTAAACTAGCCCATTCAAGGACAGTAAAGCAAGGTTGTGAATGTACTTAAACACATTTTCCATTACTGTATCAGGTTTCTACAAAGAAAAGAAATGTTATTTGAAATGCACTGAATTTGACTGTTTGTTGTCCTTTTAGAACTGGGAGCTTTGGATCCTGGAAGATGCGAGTAGAGCTGAGCTTCCAGTGACGGAGACGAGTGAAGACACGCTGCCTCTCGGCCTAGCCATAGACTACACCAGCCAGCAGGCGATCTACATCAGTGAGTGGATTTGGTTTTCTGTTCATTTCCTCTCTTCACCTGTCTGACGTGTGCTCAAATGCTTGTTCATTTTGGAGCCCACTAATGTCTGTTTAAGAACTTCAGCGTTCAATTGAAATCATTTTGGCAATTTGTATTGGATTTTACAGTTAAATGTTGAAGACTTATTTAATCAGAGTTCTAATGAGTTTCAAATCATCCATGTACTTTATCCGAATACTGATCACTATAACATTATAAAGTAATGAATAGGATTAGTTTTTTGTGTATCGCTTTAATGTTTCCAATGTGTTTAGTTATAAATGGCTTTGCTCGTCTTTGGTGAAGGAAAAACATTCCCCTGGGTTTGAAAGAATGAACTTTGTGGAGCGAATCCAACCAGCTGAGGCCGGTTTGAACACTATCTTCCATCAGCTAAATCTACAAACTAAAGCTTTCTGTGATATCACGTTGTTTTTTAGGCATGTTTAAGTATTGAGTCTGTCTGTCCTATTAATATTAACAGTTGGAGTTATCTCATGAAATGCATTGTCCTAGTTTGTGGTTAACCCTCCCCTAATGATCAGATGAACTGAAATAAGCCAGGTTCCTATGTGCATACAGCATCCACTGCAGTGCTCTATTGCAGCATGTGTCAAGAATAGTGATAAGCTACCGTCTCAGCGCACTGTTTTATCTCAAATGGCCCAGTCTGCCAGACATTCACGTAGAGCTGCTGCTGCTGCTGTCTATTCACATCTCTCCATGCTCACTCCAAGAAAAAAAGGAAGAACTCCCCTCCCCAGTGAGAGAAAAAACCTGCAATTTGGGCAACATTGTAGTCTGATCCAAACCTTTTTAAGTGAGAACACATTAGATATGGAAAGCAAAGGGAGAGTGACGAGAGTTATCAGTGGAGAAGAAATGCAGTCATTAAAATGTCTCAGACAAGCTAAAGGACCACAACAAACAACAAAGCCCAGACGATCCTGTTGCAGAATGCTGATGAGCTTAACCGAGTGCCGCTCCCTTCTGTTTCCTCGCTTTGCCACTCCCTATCTTTCGACTATGGTTTCATAACTGAGATGAAACTGCACATTAGGTGCTGTATTTATGTTCTGCATTGTGTGCTTATTCTGTCCAGAACTTAGTATCACTTTCACTAGTGAAACTTAATAACTATGTTTGATCACATTTGTAAATTGAATATATAAATGTATTGTTGTGTATAGCTTAATCAGAGAATACAATGCTCAATACCTTTTGAACATTGTCCAAAGCAGACATGCAGTGGGTGGAATGAATATACATTAGATGCAAAGTATAGGATAATAGCCAGGGATATGAGTCAGTGGCAATTAATCAAACACAGAGACTCAGAAGGAGCAGCTGCTGCTGTCATCTACTGATTACAGGGAAAGTTATACGTGAGATATAGTTTTAGATATGAGACAGCTGTAGTGAGAACAGAGAGCACAAACTGTTCATTGTACTTTTTGATGTATCTGAAATGAGTTGTATCAACGCTGACTAATTCATCTTTATTTTGGGGTGTGAGTTGTCAGTGTGAAATTAGTTTGGTTTAGAAAAGTTTAGTGTGCAGCCCACCACTTACTGGAAAGTGGGCATGAAGAGCAGGAAATAGTAGGGGTTTGGCAACAAGAAGAATGACATGGACTGTGTTTTACCAAATGAAGCATCTGAGGATATCTTTGTCTGTACATGACTTCAGTGTGCCTTTTCAAACTGAACACTGGGTTCTTTTTTAAACCACTGGGGGGCAGAATGAACCACGGTCAATGTGATGAGTACAGCAGTAACATACAGGCCGCTTCTCAATGTCAAGTTAACCTGCTGCAGAGCCACTATTTCAAGTATACTACGTCATCGAGTGGCGCCGAAGGACTCTTTAAATGCATGTTAAATGCCCAGCATTCGGCGCCACTCGATGAACGTGGTATACTTGAAATAGTGGCTCTGCAGCAGGTATACTCGACATTGAGAAACGGCCACAGTCTTTGTGCTCCAATGCTGTCAACCACTTGCATGATGATTAAAGTGTCAAACTGCATTTTGCCCTCATGGACATAGCCAGCATAGTGAGCAAACAACACCGACTGTTAATCATTTCCCTTGCAGAGGTGTGAGTTGGAGCGCAAAGCTGTGAACAATGCCTTATAATGTATTCCCAAACTCTGTTGCACATGCTTTGGCTCTTAATTAATAGACTCTATACACAATATGAAGATAGATGTGGATTCTTCCTGGCTCTCTGATCTGTGGACGGTCACAAAATGGCTGGAAAGTTATGTGTGAGTCTTTCACTGCTCATCATGTAGACTACAGTGTTTCTCCATCTGATCGTCCCTCTCCCTACTCTCTCCCCTCTCAAAGCCGACGAGAAGACCTTGCCCCCTGCGCCCACCATGCTGATGCTGTCCACCGAGGGAATCCTCTGCCCATTTGCTCTGCTCAACCTCAATCCCGGTGTCAAGCAGCTGGTCGCACCCCCATCTGTCCTCGCCCTGGATGGGGAGAGACCGCCCATGCCAGGTGAGAGAGCCAGTGAACTCTACAGATGTTTTTAGAATAAAATGTTGTAGAAATTGATTCATAATCACACATTGCAATGATACATGTGTGAAGTCATCGAATGCAGTGATACCAAAGTGTTTGCAAGATTTTTCCTTACTGGTGTGATGCTGACAAACATGGACATATCATTGGACATGTCTCCCATTAGTTTCTAAAGGGGAGTTGTAAGTCTGGAATTTGGTAACACAACTCATTTAAACGGCTCGAGGGACATGTCAATCAAAAACAAGATATGTTAAAGGAGGGGTGGGGAACCTTTTTCCTCTCAAGGGCCATTTCAATTTTTTCAACATCCTCCGAGGGCCGTACAAATTATTTACCGCTGCTTAAAAATACTAAAATCACAGCCCGTTCATTTGGCCTTTCTTTCATGCTGTGCAAAGAGAAAGCAACCTCTGAATCCAGATATCTTACCATGACTCGCGTATGCGTGCACGATTGTGGCATGACCACCAAAACAGAAAGATATGGACACAAGATGTGTGCAATTTAGTTTCTTATCCATGTGAACATGATTTAAAGTGGGGGGGGGACCTAACCTCCTCTAGGGGGGTCCGGGGGGCATGTTCCCCGGGAAGATTTTTTTATTAATGTTGAAGTTAAAAGCATCAATCTGGTGCACTTTGAGAGCAACATTAGGAGATCTATGGATACATCTCTCAACACCCATATGAAACAGAACTGTAAGCAGATTTTATTTATCTTTATGGATATTTTAAAAATCACTCCCCTTTTAAACTGTATTCTTGTTTATTAATAACAACTTTTTTTTACTGTCATATAGTATTTTATACCTGTTTACTTTATTCTCTTGTTTTTTTATAACTATAATGATCATATAAAGATGTGCCTTTACCTCACTGGTTGGAGAAAAAGCTTCTTATATTCGTTAGCATAGCTAGCTAACCAGATGCTAATAACAACAAAGTTATTGACTGTATGATCAGTATGACAGATGAACAGATCGCCACTGGGCTCACAACTAAAGACACAGCCACGCAAAAACTGCTGCATGCTCCTTATCTGAAGTGCCGGAGCCGTGCTCTCCGTCAGAACTGCACCCCTGTCAGACGAGACCATGAACGAGACATATACCACGTGATGACACGTTAGGCTCGTGGTGTGTTCAAGGACCCTGATCTTGGCCAGGAAAAACAGGCTCTCGCTTGTTTAATTATTTTGCGGTCTAGATTTCTTTTTTGCGTGTGTTTTATAAATTACCTCGAGGGCCGTATCAAATCGTCTCGCGGGCCGTATACGGCCCGGGGGCCGGAGGTTCCCCACCCCTGCCATAGACGCTTGGTGCGGTTCATTTGGGTCGGTGTGAACACAATCCGAGACCTCTTAAGTGAACTAAACAACCGGACTCTGGTTCGCTAAAA